GGGGGGGGCAGGTACAAGCCCCAAGTTATACAAATTGAGTCCTCTTTCCCCAAGGATGCTCTGGACCAAATTTGGTGAAAATCCACTGAGTAATGTTTTAAAGGAAAAAGCTGCGCCAAAGCTTAAGTGCGCCAAAAAATGAATATTTTGCTATTTTCTTGGTTTATATAGTGACATTTCAGGGAAAATGTTAGTGTAATCTCATAGTTATACAATGTAGTACTATATTTAGACTTTGAAATGTACATGAACAATGTTATTATGTGTCACAGATCCATTGTGCAGTGGTTGTATGGAACCCCAACAGATGTGGAAGCGGAGTGAGCCCGCCCCTCGACAGCGACAGTATCGTCTTCACAGTCACGGTAACCATACTCACAGAAAATTGTTTAACATGTTTGTGTTGTTGGAATTTGTGTTTATAATGTTCCTTCGACACAATATTATTTGAACACTTTACGGATGCATGCTATCTTAGCTACCATGATTAGAACTGTTGTCTAGTAATAGTCAAAACTTAGCAATCTGGCTAAAAAAAAAAAAAAGCAAAAAGCAGTTAACTTTACCAACATATAACAATATCACAATTTATAGTATCTATAAATTCATGGTTCCTGGGCCGCTTTTGTTTATCGTGATCCAAACGGTTGAACTGGTTGGACCAGAGTTGTTTGTTTATGAAAGGTCAGACCTAGTAATCTGATTCTGTTTTCACGCGAGCCTTGACAAAGCCTTGCAAGACTTGCATAAACTTTTGCAGGTCTGCCAGGATATATACCTGAAAATGTTACATTAAAAAACAGACAAACTGGTTGTTCCCAATAAGCAAACAGGCCCTTGTAGTCAAACTCTTAAAAGGGCAAATGAAGGCTACTTTAAATTTGAGGGTCTCCCTCAATAATACAGCTGCTAACGGTGTGTTTGACTTTCGTTTACTGCCTTGGTTTTAGGTCAACGAAGGTGACATAATAACAGTGAGAGAGGGCAATCCATCCTATGAAATCAGAATTTCGCTGACCCAGACTGTTGGCTACTACTGTGCAGTCAAGTACGGCCAGGCCTGTATTGTAGAGATGAAGACCCAAGTGGTCAAAGGTAGTGACCAGAGGCTGTGTACAGATGGCTCGGTCATCCCTGACCTGGCCATCCACACCACTGCCACCAATGTTTCCTTGGCAACCTGTGGATTCACCACTGATAACAGCAACCAGAACTTTGTTGTGAGGATCAAAGCTGTAATGGACAATTTGATCAGTGGCACGAGAAACCGGACACTTAACATCGTGATGGTGGACAGCGCTGGCAGTCAGACAAGTCAAAGTGTCCTCAAGAACGTCACTGTAAGTTACATTCGTAAAGGATTGTCTGCTCCAGGACATATCTCTTGAGTCATCACTCTATTTGGAGTAGTTGATCTTTTTTTTAAGGGCATATCTGAGTCAACACTATTTTTACGTAGTTTATTCTGCTCAGGGATTCAGGGTAGTTAAATTTTGCTCAAGGATATATCTGAGTCATCACTGTATCTTGGGGCAGTAAAAGTCTGCTCATGGACATATCTCTAAGTCATCGCTGTATCTCGACGTAGTGTAACTAAGTTTTTTAAGTGCTTGGGGTAGTTTAAGTCTGCGCAAGGACATATCTGAGAGTTGTTGCTGTAATAATATTCTAAGAATAGTTTTAACTCATTAATCCCTAATATTTCATGATGAAGTATTCCAACTTTTGAATTGGAAGAGTTCAAATGTGTCTTCAGGGGTGAATGAGTTAAATTGGTCTTCTCAAGAGCTCAGGTCGTGTAAAGTTTGCTAAAGGGCTGTATGTTGGAGTCAGTACTGTTTCTCAGGAGAGTTAAAGGCTGCTCAAAGGCATTGCTGTTAAGTTAAATAAATGAAGGAAAATACTCCAGCATAAGCAAAACACAGATTAATCGGTGTATTTGAAAGTTTGCTAAGTACAAAAACATTATTCACTTGAATTTAACACATTGACATGATTTAATCATAAAAAATTACATAAAAATATTATTCTTAATTTTAGCAGCAACTTAAATGAGTATAAATGAAATGCTGATGTTTTGGCAAAATTATTGGCTAACAATGATGAAAAGTTTTATATATTATGCTCTGGACTTTAGGTGATAATAGAAGATTCGGACCTGGTGGGATTCTGTCACTCCCAAAATGACCCCCACATTTCAACATTTGACAATGTGTAAGTATGCCGTCGGCTCACAGACCAATTAAATCAGAGAGAAACATTAAAAAATCTTGATAATTGTCAATTGATTTGTTATATCCCCCAAATGAAGTTAAGGGGGTATGTGGGAATCAGCTTGTCCGTCCATTTGTCAATCAACAGCTTATGAGATAAAAGCTTGTCTGGACAACATCGCCTTTAACTACTAGCAAGATTTTAGAAAACTTCAATATGCATGATCGGTACCGCATGTAGCTGTGTAATTGATATTTAGTTTTCAGGTTCCAACCAGAGTTATTGCCCTTTTTTATACTTGGTAATTTAACGTCCCGTCGGGACAGATTCTCCAAAACTGCCTGACCAAATACAATGAGACTTTCTGGGAGCGATACATAGTTCTAGATAGAGAGTTCTAGTTTCCTTTATTAGAACTACAATGTATAACCAGCAGGTCTTTGATACTTCATCATAATCGTAAAGAATGGCTCACGGGAAAGAGAAAAGACATGGACATAATTTATACTTCATAAACGGCCTCTCAATGGGGTCGACCAAGTTTCCAAAAGTCTGTTGTGACAATACAATATAACTGATGATTAGATTTCTCGCATATGTCAAAAAACGTATCTAATATCGCATATTCAACCATTCCTTCACAGATTGTATGACACTCACTTGCAGGGAGAATTTATCATGTACCGGAATTTAGAATACCACATAGAGGTAAGAGTTGAACAATTTTCATTAGAAATAGAACCATTTATTTTGTTTTTGTTGTTGTTGTTTTTTTCAAAAAACAAGATACACAATTTTTTTGGGTAATTACTGGAAAAGCTAACGAGGTATCAAATAAGTTTTGTCACAACTAATATGGAAGTTCAGATTTCTTGTTTACATACTGGGTAGCCATTAGGAACTCTGAAATATATAATATAATTAAGTGTTTAATCATTGACTATCATAGGTACGAGTGCTATTTGTGAGGTGTGGAGAAGGCACTTGCAATTGTGGAGTTTTGGTCAGATCAGGAGATGACGTCATAAAAGTTCACAAGTGTTTACCAGGAACTCTCTCAGCTTATCCAATCAGTCGGAGACTCTTTATCAACTCTCAGCTGACATTCAATTCCAATATCTACCAGGCAGAGGACGGCAATAAGTATGAGGTAATTGTCTCCCCTTTTGGCAAGTTATTGCCAATATTGGCAAATAAGTATTTACCTGTCCTCGTCAAGGAAATTGTTTCCCTTTCTCAGATAAATTAGTATTTGTCTCCCCTCGCTAAGGGAATTGTTTCTCTTTATCAGATAAATCAGTTTTTGTCCCCCCTTGCTAAGGAAATTGTTTCTCTTAATCAGATAAATCATATACGCTATCGTCAAATCCCTAATAACGATACTGTCTGCCCTACTGACATATTTGTCTCCCCTTATCAGGTTCAAATCTTTATTAAGTTATGATCTAAACCAGAATCACTTTTATATTTTTGTCTCTATTATCTCTCCTGGTCATATTATGTGCTTATTTAGTGTCTTTTATTATCTCCCCTGGTCATATCAATTGCTTATTTAGTGTCTTTATATCATGTAATTATTTCCCTTTGTTAGGCTTTTTGGCAACCTTTATTTTATCTATAAATGATAAAAATAGAAATTGTAAGTTGGACTATATATAAAAAGGCAACACTCTGACCTGTTGTGAGATTTTGTTCTGCAACAATTAGAGAATCTGAAATTAGTTTAGACAATCATTGGAAACATCTTGAACTGAAATTTAATCACCTAGCTTGCTACCAATTTAAAGTGATTTTTGATGAGCCAGTAATTGCCTGCGTCAATCATCTCCTAGTATCCTATTAAATCCCATTTGTCTCTGTAGATCTATCTACCAACCGGTGCCAAGGTGATCTTGAAGAATGACCAAGGAAAATACATGAATGTATATATCGAGGCTTCAGTTTTGGACTTGAACAAGACGGATGGTATGGTGTTACACTACAGATAAAGTGTTTGTTAATGTATACAAAAATGGAATGGCTGCAGACTGTGTTTAATAGATTTGCATTTTAAAGACTTGAAATACTCAGCCAGGCTGCAGAGAAGGCTGGAATACATATACTCCTTATTGAAACTGACCTTGAATTGTTTGAGCAGATATAACATCAGATCAAAATTGAATTATAATTTTTCATTTGCATATAAACTTAAAAACATTTAACGCTATATCAGACCCCGACAAGTAGTGATTTTACTAAGAGCTTCTCCAGAGATCAAGTCCTTGTTCAGCAGTTGAACACCTCTACTTGGTGCTGACTCCTCAAGTCCACCATTCAAATGCCAACATAACTGTGTTCAAATGCTTCTGAATGCTCTAGGTTGCTGGAACAACCAGGGTTGAACCAGGAACTTTAGGTGCAGATGTTCTGAAGGCCTGTTTTACGTAAGAATATCACTGTGTTACAGGTCTGTGTGGAAAATATGACGGGCTCAAGGCGGACGATCTTGTAGGAGCAGATGGTACGATTTACAGTGTAACTGATGCAGCAGACCAGCCTAACGACTTCAGTCGATCCTGGAGGTAAGGTTTAGTGACCTTAAGATGGAAATCTTATCACCCGGCAGCATTCATCATGTTCTGAGTACTTTCTGTGTTTCATAAAATGGCAACGCCAACATTTTACCACTTTGATAAATTTTCACAACTAATTTTCACAACTTAAATATTTGTATGGGGTCTGCATACTTGGGGGAGATTCCACTTGATTAGGATTAAAAGCATAGACAAAGTGTGTGTATGTACACCCTAGGGGAAATGGGCACTTATAAAAGACATCTTTTGAGTTGTTCTTTCAGATGAAATAATTATAATTAGATCATAGAGAAGAGGAATAGTTTAGCAAAATCTCTGGTTGAAAATGCTCAATTTCAGGGTCCAAAATAGGGGGAGTTGGCAAGAATAAGTCTGAGACAGGTTTTCTTTTATACTCAATGCCCAAGTGCCACTTGCCTCCATAACTCTGTTACTTCATCCTATTTCAAACTAAATGCAAATACTAACTCAGAAATTGTTTAGGGAATAAATTAAATTTTACTGTTTATACCTTGCCATCTTATCCCAATTTGTTGTCATGATATTACCGACTTCATTTCTTAACAGATTTTTACCAAAGTTGTAAGATTTTCATCGTAATTTGTATAAAGATCAAGTATAAAATACATCCGACATATTTTAAATTTCCAAATTCAACACCATTGCTCACTCTTGCTATTTATAGGTCAGCCCTAGGGCAAAGGGGGGCATCTTACTTATGTAGGTGTCACCATTTCTAACTGCTGAACTGGCAGATGACTTAAAAATAAGCAACATTTCATAAGCGGGCATGGCAAAACAATGACTATTTCTATGAAACATTATCGATTGCCTCTTTGTCTTCGTTCAAAATGCTCATTAAAGAGTATTTTGAAGTTTCATTTTTTTGTATCAGTGTATTACTATAACAAAACACTTGTACAATAAATTCCATCATCAAAATTTGTCAGTCTGGTTCTCGAGCTTATTCAGATATTAACCTGGCCCAGTGCATGCTGTTGCAGTGTCCATGCCAATTTGACTTCAAGCTCTTCCAGGATTAATACAGCACAATAAGTAAAAACAACTCCTATTCTGGTTATCATGCTTTATTGTGTGGCCCGCAACGTGCGGCGACATATAGGTATGACTTTGGCGGCGGCGGCGGCGGCAACAGCCGCGGCTGTGTCGTCCGAAAGAAGGTTTACGTGGGATAACTTAAGTGCCCTTAGGTTGCATACTAATATAGCTCGGAGGAGTTTGCATTTCAGAAGTTAACATGCATTTTTGATGGAGTTATGCCCCTTCTATTTACAAATAAGGGCATTATGAAGTAAATGCATGAACTTTTTTTTTTTAATCAATTCCTTTCAAATTTTGTACGGTAATTCTAGAAGCAACAATGTTCAACATATATTACGGGTTTTTCTGTCGAGTTTCAACTTTCAGTGTTTCGTCATATCACACTTAATTTTGTGCTTGTTTACGCGATCACTCCAGCCAAAACACTTTTCTCACTAAAAGCACTGAGCAGGCGACCCATCCACCCCTGTGGAATTCTTGTTGAATTGTAAACAAAATCCCCTCTGTAAGATGGACATTTCCATGTATCATGCTTATCTTATGTTACCTGTAGACCAGGCATACTTTTATATACATTGTATATCTAGTACACTACATGTTATAGAAGTAGCTAGTTGACCACATTTGGACTATGGAGCGTTTTAATTTACAAGAAAAAAAATCTGATCAGGACAACTGCAAAATATTTGAGTCCCATTAACTTGTACACCCCTGAAATTTCATAATGAACTTTTCCAACCTTTGAATTGGAGGAGTTGAAATGTGTCTTCAGGCGTGAACGAGTTAAATTAAACGATGATACAGCGGTATGCATTTTTTCATTTACATAATGTCTTAATTGGTCCATTTTGTATCCTTTTGATTACCGTAATCAAATGAAATTAGAGAAGTGATTTACAAAATGTCTTGTTTTCTGTTATAGGGTGAATTACAAAATGTCTTGTTTTCTGTTATAGGGTGAATTACAAAATGTCATGTTTTCTGTTATAGGGTGGCCCCAGCCGACTCCTACTACCCTCTTGGTTACACGTCCACGGTCACCCTCGACACTCCGGTGTACTGTCTGTGCTACGACGACGGATCGACATCCTGCAACTACAATCAGGATGTCTACAGGTGTGGAGAATCCTCAGCTGGTAAGTCGGTTGGTATTGTAATGGTAGGTTCACACTCGGCTGGTATTGTAATGGTAGGTTTAAACTTGGACGGTATTGTAATGGTAGGTTCACACTCGGACGGTATTGTAATGGTAGGGTCACACTCGGACGGTATTGTAATGGGAGGGTCACACTCGGACGGTATTGTAATGGTAGGGTTACACTCGGATGGTATTGTAATGGTAGGTTCATACTCAGATGGTATTGTAATGGTAGGTTCACACGCGGATGGTATTGTAATGGGAGGTTCACACTCGGACGGTATTGTAATGGTAGGTTTACACTCGGATGGGATTGTAATGGTAGGTTTACACTCGGATGGTATTGTAATGGGAGGTTCACACTCGGACGGTATTGTAATGGTAGGTTCACACTCGGATGGTATTGTAATGGTAGGTTTACACTCGGATGGTATTGTAATGGTAGGTTCACACTCAGATGGTATTGTAATGGTAGGTTCACACTCGGATGGTATTGTAATGGTAGGTTGGTATTGTAATGGTAGGTTCATGCTCACTGGATAGCATTCTCACCTTTCACTAAGGTGACCCAAGTTTGATTTGGTTCTCTGTCTGACCATTTCAGTTCATCTCTAGATACTGTAAAAGTCCTTTTTTGGGATTTTTCACAGTCCCAATTTTTTGCAAATTTGCTAAATTGATCAATGATTTCGGTATAGAAATTTTCATTATACTATTGGCCATGTTCCAGGGTTGGATCTGACTCAGACCCTTATTGATGAGGCAATAGCTGATGAACAACAGACGACTGTTCGCAGGAGGAAACGTGCTACGCCTGATCCAGGGTTCCAGTACGACCCCACCTATGTTGGTCCTTCTGTAAGTGCATGGGATTTGTACTTTTCTGTCCGTTTGTCTGTACATCTCTCCATACTTTGTGTTTATCTCAATAAGTCTCATAATAGAAGTCCAACATCAAACTTTATATGTGGTAGATCTTGTCGAGTACAACAGCAATATATCAATAGTCTTGTGTTAGATTTCAAGTTTACCTCCATGTCTCTGTTTAAGATTAATGGGTATATACTGTATCATTTTCTGCTTTTCACTTTACCCTCAAAGATTTTTTAATTTTCTAATTTTCTTAGTTGTCTTTGGGCCCTGCCTTATTACTTCACAAACTTAAATCAAGCTTGTTACTTCACAAGCTTAAATTAATTTATCCTTATTTAAAAAAAGAGAGAAAGAAAAAAAATGAAAGTGAAACAGCATATTAGATTGAACAATATTTGAGTCAAGTGATAGGTATTATAAAGCATGGGGGGAGGGGGAGACCAAATTAGTCCAAGCATGCTCACACTATACATATCTCCAAATAGATTATTAAATGAGTCTTGTAATATAAATTCTATTTGGGAGAGAAAAAATATTTAGTGAAACAAAATTCTGGCTATACTTTTTGTTAGCTAAAATGTTTTAATGTTTTGTCTTTGTCTTACAGACACTGGTGTGGCCTACCAGTAGCGGTATCACTGAAGCTGTGGCACGAGCGACTTGTGGCAACAAGATTGTGGGCTCCGAAACTTATACACAGTGCAAGGATATCCTCTCAGACAATGCAATTGAACGAGTGAACGCTTGCATGCGTGATGTCCAGGTTAGTATTTTACGCAATTACAGATTGAAATATAGTTTCAACTGTTACCAAGGCAAATAGTAGTCTTCTAATTTCCTTCTTAAAATTGGAATGATTCTGTAACATATGAGAGAAATTAATTTAAACGTACCTACTTTAGCTCAATCAAATTTTGGCGCTTTATCCAACATATTAGCACATTGATGAATTGGGCCAATTGGTACCCATAAAATATGCACACACAAAAATATACATGGACTTCAATTGGCGTCTTCATAATTAATCATGATATTTAAAGCATGAAAAGCGCTAAATTAAGATCACCGCTAAAATTTGTACGTTTACAGTATATTTTTCCTTCAATTTAAAGGGAGAAATTTAGTTTTTGTACTGATTCTGGTTCTCCCAGTACTAATTAATTTCTCTCTGGGACATATTCTGGCACAATACTTACAAGAAAAAAGATGATAGAATCTTATGTGTACATATGTAGATAATCCATAGGCGCATAAAAGTTAAATTAAAGGTCAAAGATGTGCTTAATTTTCAATAAATGTTTCTGGTGGCTATAAGTTTTTAACTCATTCACCCCTGAAATTTCATAATAAACTATTCCAACCTTTGAATTGGAGGAGTCCAAATTTGTATTCAGAGGGGTTAATGACTTAACTTTTAAAGTGTACTGACATCACCCACAGAGAGTCTGCATTGTACCAATATGATGTCACTGTGACCTCACATGAAGGTGAAAGGTCATATAAGTTCTCAATTCAGTAAAAGATTGTCAGGGAATTAATTTTTAAGATATATTGATGAAAGTTAAAATTGAGATGTAACAGAAATGTAGCACATGGTGTAACTGAAATAAGATGCGTTTTCTTCCCGCAGTTGACAGATTCATTTTCCTGGGCCGACTCCGGCTTGTCCAGTCTACAGGAGGCGTGTAACAACGCTGTAAAACGTAACACCAGTCTTTGGGATTCAGCCACGCCCACTTCTACACCTGCTCTACCTTCAACCATCGTCAACACCCTCTGTCCGAATCTGTGTTCTGGTCAAGGCACATGTATTGCTGGTGAGTTTAACCGTCAGATAAAAACTGATAGACATTGGAAAAACAGGAGACCATCACATGAAATTCTTTCATGTTTAAAGCATTGATGTGTCCATTCAAACGAATCACATTGTTTAGAACTTGTTAAGGCTGAAATGTGATGTGATGAAATCAAAAGATTCCGTGGCACCTTTCATAGATCCTCTTCCTTCTTCTTTGAAATGTAACAGGAGATAGAGAAACATGTAACGGCCAGACTGGGGTTTAAACCCCGGACCCTTCGACCTCTAGACGGATGCTCTTACCAATTGAGCTACCAGGTCGCCGACAATCGACCCGGTCAATGTCAGCTACAGGCCTCCCTCCTTTATTTAAGTCTCTCTCCCCCCACCCCTACTAGGACTAGTAGTTAGTGCCTTAATTTGGCAGCTCCTGTGAATTCCTCAAAATTGTATTGATTAATGTATCACTTAATGTATATAATTATTGTATTGATTGTATAAATTGTATAAAGCACCTTAGAGTGGCTTATTGTAGCTAGATAGGGCACTATATCAAATGTTGTATAACTTCAAAATTTAAAAAAAGAACCTGGTGGATTCTTCCAACATTCAAAGGGAAAGAATCATTAAATGTGGCAGGTTCATTAAGTCTACTTTCAGTATTAAGAGAAGTAGAACATTTTGTACAAGGTAGTATAATGTAGGTGTTACTATATGGACTTAACTACTGACCAACAGGTGACTGTACCTGCCAGTCTGGCTTTGCTGGACCAGACTGTTCCCTGACCGTGAATGAGGTCCCTATTGTAGTGCCGGAGGTGACCAATGCTGTGTGTGACACTCTCACACAGACCTGTGGCTCCTTTATGGTGTACGGAGACAAATTCCTCAACTCAAGTACTCTTACCTGTCACCTGACAGAAGTTCAGGTAAGTTGACACCTGAGACATGCCTAAGTAAGTTGTCACAGAAGCACAAGCAACTTGTTGTAGTTCTGCAGACAAGTTGTCTCAGTTGTACAGCTAAGTTGAAACTTTAGAAATCGTAAGTTGTCACTTTAGATCAAATGACTTGTCACAGTTGTACAGATTAGTTGTCATAGCAGTACAGGTACGATGTCACAGTGAGAGTAATACAGGTAAGTTGTAGCAGAACTACAGGTAACTTGTCACAGTGGAAAGCGGTAAGGTGTCACAGTTGTACAGGTAAGTTGTCACCTCACAGTAATACAGGTAAGTTGTAGCAGAACTACAGGTAAATTGTCACAGTGGAAAGCGGTAAGGTGTCACAGTTGTACAGGTAAGTTGTCACCTCACAGTAATACAGGTTAGTTGTAGCAGAACTACAGGTAAGTTGTCACAGTGGAAAAGGTAAGGTGTCACAGTTGTACAGGTATGTTATCACCTCACAGTAATACAGGTAAATTGTCATAGCAGTACAGGTAAGTTGTCACCTGTCAGAGGTAAAGTAAAATAGTCATCTGATACCGTAACAAATTAATATAAAATGGAAAATCATTTATTCCAACTCTTATTTTTTTTATCGTTTTTCCTGATATGCCCGATAAAACAGAATGGTAAGAATGAAATCTTTCATTGGTATACCTGGAAAATCAACATATTCAAATGAAATTATTTTCTTGACGCTTCCTTTAAAATTATAATATATTCCTGTTTTATTAATCAAACAGCATGGTATTTTCCAGACTGATGAAGATGGGATTATTTTTTTACATTATTTTCCAGACTGATAAAGATAGGATTATTTTTCATTTTTACAGGTTTCCAGTACTGGGGTGGTCAAGACCTCGTCAACCTCAACCTCCGCTGCTCAGTTCCAGCGCTTGACCGCAGCGTTATGTGTCATTCCACAGAACAAGAGCTATGTCATCAGAATCAGTAACGATGGTTCTAGCCTGAGTTCCAATGAGGCACTTTTTGTTGTCTACAAATCCACCTGTTTCCAATGTACCGTCAACCAGTCGTATACCGATGCCACATGTTCAGCCCAGGTCAGTGTGATCCATGATCGGCCACTCTGAAAAGACTTGGATTAAAAAAAAAAATGCCTAATATTATCATGATGATAAATGAAATAGGAATTTCAATTACTTTTTTCCAACTCAATTTATGAACAGTGCAGAGTGACTAAATGGTCCTAATGTTTGACTTTGAACTCGTTGACCAAGTCAAAAGTCATGGTGTGGTCTGGGAGGAAGTTTTTTGAGGGAAAATAAGATTGGCTAAAAATGTTCCAAATTGCACAAGAAGATTTTGAAACTTTAAGAATGTTTGTCTTTGTTGATGTTGAGTTACAGTTTAGATTATCTAAAATAAAATCTGTTTTTATTTACAGTCTGACGCCTGTTACATCGGCTCTATGTGTTATGCCGCCAATGACCTTGACCCAACAGATCCCTGCAAGTACTGTCGCCCATCCGTGTCCACCTCGGGCTGGACGACCTCCACTGGTCAGTTGCTTTTGGACTTTGGCTCAAACAGAAAAATCTGCTTAGGGATTCCTGTACCATCATATATTTTTAAACGTTTTTACTGAATTTTAATTGTTTCTGGAGCAGACAGGAGAGAAACTGACTACAGGCTTGACACTCAACAAAATGGTTAATATTCTGTACAGGCTTGACACTCAACAAAATGGTTAATATTCTGTACAGGGATTTAAATCATGTACAACTTGTTCTTTCATGGAGCAACTTAATGATGTTAATTAAGAAAGAAAGAAAAATAAAACAAATACTATCAGAACCTGGAAAGGTATGAAACCCACGTTGATAACAAGTTAAAAGTTCAATGTAAGGACTTTTCAGGACACATCCCTTGTTTACCTGTACATTGTGTATCCTTTATACAGACCAGGATATAAACACTGTATACTTGTGTACTGGGAAGTCCTACTTGGATATCATATTATCATTATCACAAATTACCATAAATGTGATTATCATGGTTTGTTAACTCACTTGGCCCTTCAGGCCAGCTTATGCTGTGGCGCAGCCTCCGTCTGGGCTCTCCGTCCGGGCCCTCCGTCCGGCATCAGTATTTTACTTTAAACAACTTCTGAAGAATAACCAAAATGCCCAGGATGATGATATTTGGTTAGTAGCATGCTGGGGTGAAGGGCTACCATGTTTGTTTGAATGAATAACCAAAAGGACGAGGATTATGATATTTGGCCAGTAGCATGCTTGGATAAAGGGCTACCAAGTTAGTTCGAATGAATAACTTTCACTCATATTCCAGGTCACAGGGGTCAATTGTCTAAAAAAAAACTTTAAACAACAACTTCTGAATAACCAAAAGAACCAAGATGGTGATATTGGGTCAGTAGAATGCTTGGATGAAGGGCTAACAAGTTTGTTCAAATAAATGACCTTCACTATATTCAAGGTCACAGGGGTCAAATATGTCAAAAACTTTAAACAACTTCTGAATAACCAAAAGGCCCAGGGTGATGATATTTGGCCAGTAGCATGCTTGGATGAAGGGCTACCAACTTTGTTAAAGGGAATGACCTTGATCTGTATTCAAGGTCACATGGGGCCAAATATTTTGAAAATATTTGAAAGAATTCTTCTGAATAACCATAAGGCCGAGAAGGTTGATGTCTGGCAATTAGCATACTAGGATGAAGGGCTACCAAGTTTGTTCAAATGAATGACCTTGACTTATAATCAAGATCACAGGGGTTGAAGATGTTCAAAATCTTTTAACAACTTCCTACAATAATCATAATAATCATTAGGCACAGAATGATGATATAATAGCATGCTTAGATGAAGGGCTATCAATGTTTACTATTTGAATGATCTTGTTTCGCTTTTGGTCAAATATATATAAACCTTTAAATGACCTAATCTCAATTATAAAAAGGTCTGAAGTGGTGATGTTTGGCAAGTAGCATGCTGAGATGAAGGGCTATAAAGTTTGTTCAACGTTAATGACCTTGTTCAACTTTCGAGGTCACAGGTGTCAAATGTTTTCAAATCTTTTAACAGGTTCTTTTGAATGACTTTAGTCATAAATACTGATGTTACAAGTGTGAGATTAATACCAGGTGAGCGATGCAGGCCCATTGGGCCTCTTGTTATTTTCAGCACCATATACAAAAGGTTAAGGTTATGAGAAGGGGTGAGGTGGGGGTGCAGGATTATAAATTAGCGACCTTTGACTGGCTACGTTTTTATAGAGTGCATTTTTAATGTATTCCTATGTTTCAGCAACGGAATGTTCTACCAGAATTGATGAACACAGCAAAACAGTTGTTATAGTGACCTCCGTTGTGGCTGGGTTCCTACTCATCATCATTATAACCCTGGGCGTTGTCTTCGTTCGAAGGTTAGTAACGTAAACTGTCGAGTACAGAGATAGATTATGAGTTATTGCTTTTAATCAAAATTCTCCAATTACCTAGAAAGCTGGTACCAGTGTATATGTATGAAGCCCCTTTCAAGCTCTTTGAGAATTTCAGGAATTAAAATTGCAATTTCATTAAATGTTACTTGAAAACCATTAGAGAAAGTTAATGCACAAGTGTGTTGTGTTATTGGAATGGGAGTGGAAAAACAAATGAGATATACTGTTTCTCACAAAAAAAATGAAGGTTTGAAGGAAGAATGAATGATGCAGCTGTGAAATTAATAAATAGTACACATATGATCTTATAACTCGAAAGTATATCATGGGAAAAGAAAGTTATTTTAATTATGGATTTAATTGTCAAGTATTTTCCATTTAAAAAGGGGATACTTATCAAACAGGGGGAAATGTAGCCCTAATAGCAAATGTAGGAGATTCCAATATATATACCACTGATCATGGAGGTCATCTCCAGTTTTACCCGTGCAAGTGTAGGTGCCTTGGCAGGTATGCAGATTTTAACCCTGACAATGTACATGCTTGAAAGCGTTTTTGTAAAAGGCCAACATTTGTATAATTAACAAGCATGTGCTTATCACTGGTAAACTATTTTTATTATGTTTTGTAGAAATTACAGAAAAGGAAAACTGGCTTCCAAGAAGAAATCTGGCAGGCGTCAAATGAACGGGAACAGCCGACGTGTGAGATACAAGGATGACCCGCAGACGTTCACGTATGATAACCAATCTTTTGATCAGAGGTCGTCACCAGCACACGAGTATGGTATGTCCTACGACAACCCAATGGGACAGAGCTACTACGCTGCACAGCATCAGGAGCCAATCGCATTCTACCAAACAAACACGAATGGCTACTTCGAGGATTGACAATACTGAGAGAATAGTTACCATGGAAACATTATTCTAGAATTTAGATAAATGATGTAAACTCAGCGACTTCTTAGATGGATTTTGTTTTAGCTTTTTTTCAGAATTTGAATGAAGATGCTTTCAAAGCTCAAACTATCTGTATGGAAAGCTGCATTCTTCAAACAAAGTTATAGAACTAGTATTATGCAATTCAGGTTAATTTTTTGATAACTGAATTAAATGATTGCAACATTTGTGATTATGCCTGGTCAGTTTAGATTTTTTTTAGAAGATTTAATGATGGATATGTAGGATTCTTAAGTTCAGAGAGGAAAAAATATTCGGTGAATACAACCTATATATAGTTTCTGACAAATATTTACACAAGATTCATTTAAAATATTAATATTAAAGTATTAAGGCAGTCATTCTATAAGTCAGACTGGTACACTCTACAGCTAAAATGCTACAGTTCAAACTTTTTGATTCCATTAAATCTTTGCAATGTGTAGATTTAGAATTTTTCAGCCACGTTAGAGAATCGTCTGCCTCGATGCGGTGGATATAAAGTGAAAATTTGCTTGCGTTCTTTTGTGAACAATTAGGGGCTTAATCTAGTGACAGATTCAGTAGTTTAAATGCAGCAATTTAAGTGCTTTAGTTAGTAATTTAGTTGTAAAAGAATATATTTCTGTTAGCCAAAAGCCGCCTGGTAACCATGGGAGGCCTGCATTGATTGTCTTGAAATTCAAAAATAATTCATTTTAGAATTGGGAGAAAATTCAAAGTGATTTTGATAAAAGTGGATGATCCATGTAGATCAGGGTTCATAATGAAAGAATGATTATATACTATGAAATATGTACATGTAGTTAATACTTTTTTATATTGACAGTCGATTTTTGTTCATCTGGGCACAACTTTCTGTAGGCAGTCGCAAACTTTGTGTAGTTCGCGATACTTTTCAATAATTACAATCAATCTTCGTTAGTTCTGACACTGGGAAAATGTCCTTTTTATTTGATAATTTCAGATAATTGAAATATAACGCTTGCAGACTTATAATAATTTTTTTTCTCCATACTTTAAGAGAATAGGCATTTAAGATACAAGTATTCTCTATCAGAGGATTAACAGAATCATTCCCTGTCTGTCGGGTATAACAGAAACTTCTCTATCCTGGGGGTGATATTTTGATTGTCTAAACCAAAGCACATGCCATGGACTAGACATTCAAGAAAATCGTTCTGAGGATTGGAGATTACTTTGCGGTACCTGAAAAGCAGGGAATTATTATTTCTCTCTCATCTACCGACAGCAGCGCTGTGTAAACAACAGAACATGTGATGTATGATTATCAAAAATCACTTATGATATCAGTTTTCATAGAAATAACTATGCAACTGAAATGTATTGTAAATAAGATATTTTTTTTTTTTATTTAGAACATAGTTATATTACTTTACATGTTGACAACCAAATATATTAAAATATGAAATATACATCAACTTTTTGTCTGATGAAGGTGACAGTGTAAATATTGTACTAGTAGTTATCGAAACGTCACATAGAAAATTTCATTGATTGTGTAAAAAGAACTTCTCATAATATATCAGCTTCAGTTGCAGACAATGTTTATATGTAAATGTTGTTTGGGTTGAACTTCCAGTTAAACATGTGTTCTTCTAAACGGAGTTATCTCCCCTTCAGGGGTGACACCTGAGTACGGGAATGTTAAAGTTTGTTTCAAATACAGGAGCCGATCGAGCTCCTCCACACTGGACTCAAAAAATAAACGATGTTGTCAAAGGTAACCACTTGGTCATCGAGTCTCGAGTAAAATATTTTTAACACCTTTTCCTTTGGCATGTTTTTAAGGAATATGACAATCTGTTCTTGAAAAAGTCTCTTAGATCCTGAGGGGTTTTTTTTGTCACATGTTTTCAGCATTATTATTTAGTTATGTAGCAAGAGTTAACGAGATTCGGATCTTGACTGTACAGTGAAACAATCATGTATTATATTTCGTCGTCATCGTTTGATGTTGAAATCAACACGTTTAAATGTATAATTACCAGGTACAACAAAATATAAAGGGTGCTTCTGTGGTGTCATTTTCTTGTTCATATCATTTAGATCATCGGAATGTGTTCTCAATGGTTTATCCAAGTAATAATTAAAAAATGTATATTCTTCTATAACTGTTTTGTATATTTTTATGCTCAATCTTATTTTTATAATAAAATCATTGTGATACTTGAAAATCTTTGATGTTGTATGTTTGATTAAAGTTGACAACACTCCATAATAGAGCGGAAGGAAGAATCTGTGTTTCATTTTAAAAGATGCAAGTAGCTTGGTGGTAATTTATTGTCATAACAAGAAGTCAGTCACAGGCTCCTTAGGCACTAGATTTTGGTTACAATAGACTGAAAATGTCGAAATTGAAAGCATATTGCACAGTTAAAAACAAATATTCGATATTAGACAAGACATCCTTTTAACCTCACTTGGTCAAAACAAGTAGTGAGCTCATGTCATGGTGCAGAATGTATTGCCCATAAAATGTTTTCGAACAAAACTTTCTCCTTCTGACTTAATTGAATCAGACTTCAACCAAACTTTCATCCTAAGATCTTACTTGTGTTAAATGGCTGCAGGATTGTAACTCGATTTGGTTTGAAACATCACTTTGGCAAAATGATCATAATTTTTATGCATGAAGTTTGTGCAAACCCAAAGCCAAAGGGGTGTGGCCCCAATAAAGTAAATTTTGGCAACAATTTTTCAAAATTTCATATTTTACGGTCATTTGATGCAATGATATGTGTAGTGACCAAAGACTTCCGTCTCTCTCGGTACTCGGGTAGACAGGCCAGGTGACGCCCCATCTATATCAGCCTAGTGAATATGCATACTTTAAAATGGTTAAGACCCTCTCCATATAACCACAAACACATGTAGAGGACATTAGGAGATGAATACATCCATGCTTCCAGAATTTTGCTCTGTTGTCCCACCCCACCCCTACAGACTTAGTCCCCAAGTCATAACATGGGAACAGTAGAAATTTCTACCTCATAAAAGTATAAATAATTGTTAGGCATAATTATAAACATAATCATGCTACCAAGATTGACTCCTGTCTCGCCTTCAGAAGAGTACACAAAAGATATATGGGCCTTGTATTTCAGCAACACTCTATTTTCAAAATGATGTAACTCGGCCATTTTAGCACCAAATTCTGCGCACAATGTAACCTTGCTATTGCAGACTCGCTCTCTGGGTGAAAATGAAAATGGTTGATATCCCATTTACTTATAACCACTTTCTAGGTATGAAGAGACGAGTATACATGTACTCATCTTAACTAGATCAGTCCCACCAATTCCCAAAGTTACAACATGGAAACAGTTGAGTACCACAACAAACAACACTAGGGACCTCATTCCTGGGTCATAACTTTAAAAAGGTTGAGATCCCCACCCCATAACCATATAAACGATTGCTGGGCAAGATTTGGTTTGTTTGTGTTTTACATCCTATTAACAGCTATGGTCATTTAAGGACGTGCCAGGTTTTGATGGTGGAGGAAAGCCGGAGTTCCCGGAGAAAAACCACCGGCCAACAGCCAGTACCTGGCGACTGGGCAAGAAGAAACAAATCATACTACATGTACCGGGATTGGCTGTGCCCCAGAAGACTTTTTGGGCAATAACATGGCAGACTTGAAATCCCAACCCCATAACCATATACATATATCATTGCTTAGTATGAAGTGATGGACGAATATTCATGCAACCAGGATTGGCTCAGGGGTCCATTCCCATCCCTTATGATTCACTCCCTAGGTCACAACATGGAAACAGTTGATGAGGTTCTTACCCTATAACCATATATACAATTACTCTGTTAGTAATAATGATCAGAAAAACAAGTTTAACTTTCAATAGAATATTTTAATTATCAACACCATACACAACAGCACACCATCACACTCAGATCACCCTGTACACTTCATCTACTCAGGGTCATATACTGAACCATAATCTTATCCTCAGATCACCCTGTACACTTCATCTACTCAGGGTCATATACTGAACCATAATCTTATCCTCAGATCACCCTGTACACTTCATCTACTCAGGGTCATATACTGAACCATAATCTTATCCTCAGATCACCCTGTACACTTCATCTACTCAGGGTCAT